GAGGAGAGAGACAAAGAACCTGAGACAGCAGAGTTGTTATAATAACCCTCCCAGAGGCCAAGAAGCAACCATATAAACACTGATAAGAACTATAGCGGTATTTATCATCTTGGAAACATATTAATATAAAATATATTTTTAAAAAGTCTTCTAGTTCATAAAACAGCTTTTGTTTTTCTTTAAAGCCGACTGTCACACTGAGGTGATATTAAAAACAATTCCACACCACTCAGAAATAACCTGTATATAGTGCAGTTTAGAAAAAAAAAAAAAGGCAGACTTTGGATTTTTGCTCAAGTATGAAGATGTTTTCAATACGGTGTAAGGGATAGAGATCGATGGGCTCTCAGAAGAGAAGGCAGGAGACAGGTCACAGGGCAGGTAGCAGAACAGAAAGGCAAGAAAAAAAATCTACTAAATCAGTCCCCTTATAAATCTGATAAAGACAAAATCTGGGGACTAGTACCTCCAAAAATAGGCCCAATATAAAGAGATAAGTCCCTAGAGTTACTAAATAATTATTTGAACAAATACTGAAAGAGCAATTTCAAAGCAAAGTCTACCTTGCTGACAAACAGTAAGCACAAAATGGATCTACTTCACAGTGCTCTGGCTTTACCTCACTGTATTCTCAGTGATAACGTTTGAGTTTTAAAATCAGTCTGACAATAAAATACAGTAAAAGGAGTTTTGTGTATGACATGACATCCAGCATATTGAACAACATTCCAGCAGCTATTATTGTCAGATACAAGAACGCAGAAGGCCAGAAGAAAAACCAGTTGCGGACTTTTAAGTGCATGCACTTAATTATCTGTGTGGATAATCAACAGCAGACCCAGAATATGCTGAGGTAAAAGGCAAAGCTGCCTGTGCTGAGTGCCATTTGCTGCCCTGAAGTGCTAGTTCACTAAAGGGCAACATAAACCTAGTGTTGTAGCCCCGTTTTCCTGCTCATCTTTTACAGTGCCTATTGGCTGTCAGGACAGCTCTCCAGCTCCAGCAATCCTTCCCACCCCATCTCAAGTCACAGGCAGTTTGTTCACCTCAACCACGTTGAAAAAGCAAATCTTGGGTCTTTAAAAGATGCTTTCCTGACCAATGATGTCCGTAGGTGTCAGGTGTCCTCGGTCATTCCTCCCAGTCTTCCATTGCCCACTCGGGCATCTTGGAGCAATACTCAAACTCCGCTCCCTTATAGCGCAAGGCATGCAGGTACATCACCAGCTCCTTGGGAGATGGGTCCCGCCTTGTAATTTTACACTCCACGCACAAAGGGTCCTTCTCATCTGAATGCTTTTCTCCTGTTTGCCCGTCCTGCTTCTCACAGGAACCAAGTTCTTTATTTTTTTCAAGTGTTTCCAGGCTGGCAACAGAGTTCAGTGGACAAGCTGCTATGTCATTTCTCTCATGATCCTTAGCATCCCTCTCAGGATCCTTAGTGTCCTTGGCAGGGCAGGAGTTCTCATTTACCAAATCAGCCTGCACAGACTTTGTGCAGTCACCCGAATTACCAGAGTCTTTATTTTCAGTGCTGGAGTTCAAGTCCTCCTCCAAAAGACCCAAGATATCCAGGCTTTGCTTTGAACGATGCTCCTCTACCAGTGCCTTAAGGAGTTCTTCATCCGTTTTATCGATCTTGCCACCTTTCCCCCTGTCAGGGCCCCAGGCTTCCATATTATAGATGGGGTCGTTGACAATAGGATGCCCCAAATACTGCAAATGGACTCGGATCTGGTGTGTGCGGCCAGTACGCGGAAGACATTTGACTACGCTGGTCTTACCATTGTAGCTGAGTCTCTGGAAGATGGTTTTGCAGAATTTCCCTTTGGGGTCCACACGGCACACTCCCACTTTGTAAGAAACAACCAGTATGGGCTCTTCGCAGACCACTTCGTGTTCTGGAAACTCCCCCACCACACGACAGACATACTCCTTTTCCAGCTACAAGGAGATACAAGAGTAACTCTCAGAAAACGGAACAGAAAACTGTCTCTGTCCCGATTACACCCGAGTCCCACCCTAGCTACTCCTCTCTTTCTCTTCAATGAAATACATTTTTAGGGAACATACTGCCAAAATTTTATTACAACTGAACAGGGAAGGGAAAAAAAAACAAACCTAAAATCAGCTATTTAAAGCCAAATTTCTCTCACGCTTTCCCCAACTAGTCAGGAAATCAAGAACGCAAGGACTATTTTCCTCATATTAAATTCAAGAGCCATTTCTCGGTCACTTTCAGTTTACAGCCTTGAAGCAAATCCTGGAAGCTAATACCCTACACAGCTACAGTTCTGTTTGGGTCCAGAGCCACTGGAAAAATGCGAAAAACTTCTAAAACCTTTAAAATTGAAAAAAAAGTATTAGATGACTGACACATTTCCACTTACAAATAAAACCGCTCTCTAACTGTTCTGCACAATCCCAGTCAGTTTGCACAATCCCTTAAGGAAGGAGATCCCTTTCAATCTAATATTACCAAAATCAATTCAATTAATTCAATTTTTAGATAGTCTTTGTCTCTCGATGCCTCTCATGCTTAATACAATAAGAACAGTCTAGGTGACCACAGGCTGTTTTGGCAACTTGTGGTCGTTTACACCAAAGATTTGGCCGACTTTGGACCTAACCCGTTTCAAGAAAATACCGTGCAAGAGACTCCGAAAACTACCGCAGCCCTTAGCTCTCACCTGTCTCTCCCGAACCTGCTCATCGATTCTCTTGGATACCTCTGCGGTCTTGGCAAACATAAGTACTCCCGAGGTCATGCGATCGAGTCGGTGAATGGTATGCAACTCCTTCAGGTCATGCTCTTTGCCCAGGATGAAAATGACTGTGTTGTGACGAAACCTGCCACAGGGATGTACCGGCAAAGAGGAGGGTTTGTCCACAACCACCACCTCATCGTCCTCCACCAAGATCTGGATAGGCTGGGCAGTGACTGGTGGCTCATGGCGATGCACCGTATTCCTGAGAAAATCATTATTCTGCAAGACAGAGGCAATTAGCATGAATCCAGCCTGCGTAACCACCCCATCTGCCCACACACAACAGGGGCCTGTGATACTGAGGGGAAGGGGGCAGAATGAAAGCCCCTTTGTCCTGGAACGTGGTACTTTAGCACAACAACTCTGCTTATTGACATTCAAATTCGATAACGTGTCTTAAGCGGTATCTCTGTGCCTTGCCAGCTCTTGGGGTGCTGAGCAGGAAGCTGTGGGGTACGCTGGCTCTGTGTGGGGCTGCGGGATCTGCATACTCCCAACCCCACCAGGGTCAGGATTCCCTGTGTTGTCCTAAAAGCAGATCCATTTACCTGGTGTGCAAGCTAGTAACACACAGAGTTGAGGCATTTTCAAATTAATTTCATTGATGCACATAAATGGGTGCCTGTCTCAAGACAGCACACCTTTATCTCAAAAATTCCCACATTTATATATTTAAGTAATACATATTCATTATTATTTCCCTTAAGGATTGGTTCTTTCTTCTTCGCCTCTCACGTAAATTAGTGTGCAGACTCCGTCTTCTTCCTTCACTGCCTTCTTTTGAGTAGGTGGTATCATTTGAGTAGATGGTCACGACCTCCCCCCATAGGAATTACCTTCTACCTACTTCTTCCTCTGTCTTGGCAGTTCCAAGCGGTTCTTCAAGGTTTACTGATCAGACCACGATCCGTTACCTTTTCTGACACAAGCATTCCACCTATCTACAAAGCCCTGTTGCCTAACAGTTTATTCCTAAACCCAAAATCATGTCTAGTTATCGTTTCCCTGTTTTAAATATTAACTGATGGGGGGGGTATACAGAACTTTAGCAGTTCCCTGGTTATTTCTATCACATTATACATATTAACTGATAACCCCTGGGCCACCCGATCTCCCCTGGCACACCGCTGACGTTACCACCACCACCACGGGGTTATCCCACCGCACCGCTCGGGACGACGCTCACCGCCAGAGCCCACCTGGGCTCTCCCACGTTGGGTTACCGGGCTGGACACGCCACGCTCCTCACCGGGAGCCCTCCCCAACCCCGAGGTGGGGTGCCCACCTTCAGCACGATCTCCAGATCGCGAACGGGCTCCTCGTTGAGGCGGAGGCGGCCGGCGCGGGCAGCGGCGCGGTAGTAGTCGAGGGGCTGGGCGCGGAACTCGGTGCTGAAGACGTGCAGGAGGCTGCGGCCCACCCAGCGGCCCTTGCAGTAGGTACGGAAATCGAAGTAGTAGGGCCGCACCTTGCGCAACCCTCCCTCGAAGTAGTACGAGGTCTCGGCGAAGTGCTCGGCTCCGAAGCTCACCCCCGCGCTCAACTTCCGCGGGGGCGGAACGTAGCGCTCGCCGGCCGCCAGCCGTCGCTTCTTAGGGGCCGGCGCCGCTTCCTCCTTGTCCCCGGGGCCCGGTCCCCCCTGGCCGGGGCCCGGTTCCGCCATACGGCCGCGGCGAAAGGGCGGGCGCGGCTGCCGGGCCCCGATCCCCGCCACCCACCGCACCCGCGCTGCCCACAGCGCGCCGGC